GAAAAGTATTGCCGGGCTATTGATGGTTATACATTCAGATGCAACCACTCTATATGAGGAAGTCTGTATAAGTTGGTAAGTCGTACATAACTGGTGATTCTTTTAGACACTTTCTTCTCGAAATCAAAGCTCTCACTTAGTAATATATTGCGTATATGCAACCAGTATCTGCTACAGCTGGAGAAATAGAGAATACATTGGTTTGATATGTCTATAACCACTTCTATGAGAATCTGGGACCAGTTTTCGTCGCATGTTAGAGATATATACCCGATATGATTAATCTTTATTACATATATATCGTAGATACACTTCTTTGTAAATTAAGTACCACTTTTCACCTAGAAGAATCTGATTGGCTGTTTCAAGGTCGTCTGAAGTTGGTGTCTATTCTTACTGTTGCCGGTAAAAACTCATCTGCTTCTATTGTCTCACTCTGGACTGAAAGTAACCAACATATTGCTAGGCTTTTCAAATACATCAGAATTTGATGTGTCCAAATACTAGTTCGCTCATAATCCTATATATTTTGAATGACTTAACAACATATCGTTTAAACGAGTTTGACCACGAATTGATATCAGTTGGAGAACCATTGAAAACCAGTACAGGAGTTCTGGACAGCTGTTTCATCCTAGTGCTTGGGAATCATCAGCAGTACGCACCCGCCTCCAGGGTTCGAACCCAGGTCCTTCCGGTTACAAGGCAGTTGGCTCGTATACCATTCAGCCAATAGGATCCCTCCCGATTCAATGGCCAGTCCATTGAATTCTAACTTCTACCAATCCGTGATCAACTCGTCAAAACACATCTAATCCTTGCTGCAGCACGGAGTTTCCTGGAGTTCTAGTGAGAAGTAGTGATCAGTCAGGTCCATCCAGTCAAGTGTGAGGATGGATTTCCCACCGATGACATTAGTTGGTGGTCGCGCTAAATCACGAATTCGGTGAAGTTAGAATTCATGTACTGGCCATTGAATCGGGTCCCTGTGGCTGAATGGTATACGAGCTTCCCTGTCACCGGAAGGTCCTGGGTCCGAACTCTAGTCGGTGGATGCGTACTGCTGAAGAGTCCCAAACTAGGATGAAACAGCTGTCCAGTACTCTAGTGCTGGTTTTCAATGGTTCTCTAACTGACATCAATCCATGGTCAAACTCGTAAAAACATATTTAATCCTTACAAACCGACTCTTGAAAATATCGTTTAAAGTCAATCCTCACTCCATCTCTGTTTTACTACATTTAGAACTGAAATAATAAGCGCAGACTAGATACCTGATGCAGTGATGATGATGATCAGAGAATAGGCAAGAGTAAACAACAGACACCAAAGTCAAATGACCTTGAAGAGATCAATCATATAGCTCAACATTACAAATGGACGCTGTTCATAATCTTTGTTACAAGTTTCACCCAGATTTGGTTTTTACTTCTGTGTGGAAAGTGGATTGATAGGGGGAGAGGGGAGGGGGGGCAAAACACGGATCTGTTGAGGGGTAGTGACTCTGCCAAAGTATTGCCGGGCCGGCTATTGGTGTTTATGTATTCAGATGCAACCAATGTTATATGAGGAAGTCTGTAACAGTTAGTAAGTCGTACATTACGGTGACTTTTTAGATACTTTCTTCTCTCGAAATCGGAACACTCCCTCAGCAAAATATTGTGTACATGCCACAAATGGCTACTGAAGCGACCAGTATCTGCTACAGCTACAGTTACAGAAATGGAGAATACTGAAATGTCGACAGTGCAGTGGTATCGGCGTTGTCGGGATTATATTATTATTATTGTTTCCTTTAATTCCTACAGGAACATAGGGCTTCAGCCGTGCGTCCCCATTGCTTTCAGTTCCCTGCTAGAGTCTTCACCTGGCTCCAAGTCTGCCCACACGCTTTCATCTCCTCTTCACATCACCTCCTCCAAGTCACCCTTGCACTGACGACCAACTCGCCGCTTCCCTTTCGGCTTCCACTCGAGCGATGGCTTGTCTAGTGATGTCACTTGATGCTTTGTTTCCTCAGAGTATGGCCAGCCAATCCATCTCCATTTCTTCCTGCCTATTTGTTTCACAATCGGTTCCTGGTTGGTTAGCACATTGCCAGAGATCTCTGTTACTGATCTCTTCTGGCCGGCCATCTGATCTTGAGTAGTATTGAGCGAAGACAACTGTTGATGAAGGTCTGTAGTTTGTTTGAGATGCTCTTTATGACGCCCAGTGCAAGCCTCTGATCCGTATAGTGAGTAGCACTGACTTCACATTGGAGTTGAAAATCCGGATCTTATTTTTGATGCTGAGTGCTGTTGACCTCCACACAGACTTGGGAGTAGTGAAAGCTTGTCGGGATATTGCCTCAAAAAACATCCGTCGAACTACTTTTGTACTTGGAGGAATCGGTCGTCTTTCATATTGACACAATGAATCGCAGTAGGAGAAAAGCAAACCATGGTTGAATGCTGGAACTGTAGTACACAAACCTTCGAAAAGGGTCAGTAGAACGCATCCAATAATACAACAACTAGTCCTCCCAGTCACTATCATTCACACAGATGAGTGGAGAGGTTATTCGCAATTATCATCACAAGGCTGTATTTATTCATCATAAAGTCAGTCACTCTTCTGAATTGGTGGATCCTTTGAATGAAACTCATGTAAATTCTATTGAAGGGTCCTAGGCCCATCTGAAAAAAGTAATAAAATCGGAAATGGTTCCCTGAACAACATGGTGTACAGTCAGCCAATTAGATGAATTTTTGTATCAACATTGGTTTGATATTTCTGTAACCACTTCTACGAGGAACTACGACCACTTTTTGCAGCATATTTGAGAAATATACGCTGCATAATTCATTTTTATTATCTTTTAAATACACTTTTTAACAAGTTAAATGCCACTTTTCTCCTAGAAGAGTCTGATTGGCTGCTCTTCAAGGTCGTTTGAGCTTGGTGTCTATTCTTTACTGTTGTCAGAGGATATTTTATCGCAATTCGTCACATGACAGCAAAGTCAGAACTTTATTGACTTATGTATTTTGCTCTTAAAACTCAATCATCAGTGGAAAAATATAAATGACAAGGTTACTACTATCTTGAAATTGAATTTTCTGCACAGAAGTATTGACTGCATCTTTTACTCAAGATCACACAAAAATAAGAAGGATTGTAGTAGTAGTGTGGCATGTGCTACTGATAAGATAAACAGACGTTGACCGGTACAAAACTATCAAATAACGGGGAGATAGATTTGACGTCACAGGGAGCAAATGAATCAGCGTTGCGGCAATACATAGGTGACATGAAAAGAAGACAAGGAAACACAATACGATGGGCAGAAGTAACACAGCACGGACGAACTGTGTAAATGACGATTACCAGATAAGGTGTACATAATTTCGCTACATATCGATTAGAAATTCCAAATAAACATTCCTTTACCAAATCTCTCGTCTTCTATTGTTACAGGTACATCCATCTAGCAGACAACCAGTAATCCCAGGATGGGGACAAAATGAGCCTCCTGGATTTTACCACTACTACTATGATGAGAGCTGCCTGCAAGCCAAAATTGTAGACACCAATTTACGTCAACGTATACGTCCCGAATCAGGGTCATGAGGAAGAACAATAACGAAGCTTGACCTTGAGGAACTCACCAACCAATCACAGCAGACTTAACGTGTGCAAATACGATTCGCAGATATATGCCTTGACCTTCTAAGAAACGGTAACAAAGAGATGACAGAATAACCTTCAGCAAGAAAACAACCAATCAGAAGAGGTTACTTCTCTGCTAACAATAATGTACATAAAAATCTATAAATATCTCATACAACCGGTTCGTTTCGCAGAAGCCATTGCTAACAAGAGACTTCAACCAGACCTCTGTATACAAAAAGATAGTGTGACTAATCTTTCACTACCCAGGTAACCTTAATTCTATTTATTTTTTGTTTTTGCTGGAAACGTTCTTTTTAATGCACCTGTGATTCTTTTTTGTGTTCTTGTGGATACGTCTTCCCCTTTGTACGCTAGGCAGATGAAAACTGGTTTCTTTTCGACGGTGTCAGGTTTCGGTTCGTGTGCTTCTTCATTTCTATACTTTGATATGAACTTTCGGGGATATCCATTCTCGATAAGGTTCTTTTCGATGACCGCGAGTTCTTCTTCAATCTTGTCTTCCGAACATATTTCTTTGGCTCTGCTGAACAGCGTTTTTACTAGACCTCGTTTGTAACCGGTTGGGCAAAAGCTGTCTACTTAATTGTCTGTTTAAGTTAAAAAATGTCACTTCCCTATTCACCCCCACCCTCTTAAACTCTCCACCACAAGATGTGTAAATTCACTCTGTTCTCTGACCCTGACCCTGTAATATGCCTCTAACCAATCTGTGTTTTCCAATAGAAATCTGAACTCTAACCCCTCTTATCTAACTCCACTATATATATTTAGTTGTTTTTTTTTTGACACTGAATAATCTGTCTACCTACATCAAATTCTGTAATTATGTTCCTTATACCTTCTATCTACAACTCCAAGTAATTATGAAAAAGTATGTTCCAAAACTTTTTTGAAACCTATAATTTGATTTTGTTTTAGGATGCATGCAGTTGATGAGTATCCACAAAATAAAACGAGCTCGTATTATCCTGCAAACATATTCGTTCTTTCTCTCTTCAAACTATAAATATCTCTTGATTTCCTCAATAAACGATATGTTGCCTGACCCCTGTCTATTGTCGTTCCACTACTGCTACTACTAGCTACCACCAAATCAAGTAATTTAACCGAATAAATAAATAAATAACAGAGGAATACTGTTTTTCTGGCGAGGATTAAAGGTTGGTCGTAGGTTTGACAGTCAGTCAAATAGCCTTCTCACAAGAAGTGAGTTGGCGAAAAAATTCATAAGCGATACTTCTCTCTCTTGAAACTCCCGAATGACCCACCTCGAATTTAAGTAAAGCTCAGTCTCATTCTCTTGTAAACAAAAATAAGTCTGATGGTTTAAGGTATATGAATTATGATAGATATAATCAAAGATATACATATTATGAAAATAAATGCACACAAAATCAGTACAGATTGTATATGTACACGTATATATTAATCAGACAGTCAGTGGGGTTATAAAAAGTAGTATGTATATAGAGGTAAAAGTAATGAATATGTATGTATATATATCCAAATGAATGAGGAATGATATAAAATAATATTTAAAAAATAACAATACTAATTAATGATTAGCTTTTGTCGAAGTCGTAGTATCCTTCTCTATACTTAATTCAAATGATTCATACTTTTGAAGTTCTGCGTTGAATTCGTCTAACCATGAATTATATGCTTTCTAAAGTAGACAATGAAAAGGGAAAAAGGCAACTGTAATAATATACTTAGAATATTCTTATTGGATGGGGGATTTCATCATGAGCTGACATCAGTTAGAAAACCACTGGAAAGCTGTTTCGCCAGCCTGGTTTGTGACTCTTCATCAGCACGCACCTACCTCCAGTAGACCGTTGAGCTACTGGGACCCGGTCTGATGGCCAGTCCATGAATTCTAACTTCTGCCAATTCATGAAATAGCTCGACCACTTTGCAGTGTCTTCTTCGATGAGTCACTGCGTCATCTTCAACCTGCCGTACCCTACTGGTCACAGCTTCCCATTGTATCAGGTCCCAGTGGCTCAATGGTCTACGAGCTCGCTAGCCTTGTAACCAGAAGGTCCTGGCTTCGAACCCCACTGTGGTGGGTGCGTACTGATGAAGAGTCCCAAACTAGGGCGAAACAGCTGTTCAGTACTCCCAGGTGGTTTTCCAGTGGTTCTCTAACTGATGTCAGCTCATGATGAAATCCCCCATCTTATAATATTCTTGTTTAAAGTTTGGAAATACATTTACAAGTATGTCTACAAATACATTTATTTATCCCGATACAATCAGACTGGTCAGTTCAGCTGATAAACAGTTAAGTTATGCAATTTACATCTCATATTGTTCACGGCTTACTTATTATTATTATTATTGTATCCTTTAGTTCCTACAGGAACATAGGGCTTCAGCCGTGCGTCTCCATTGCGTTCTGTTCTCTGCCAGAGTCTTCAACTGGCTCCATGTCTGCCCACACGTTTTCATCTCCTCTTCACATGACCTCCTCCAAGTCACCCTAGCACTGACGACCAACTCGCCGCTTCCCTTTCGGGTTCCACTCGAGCAATGGCTTGTCTAGTGATGTCACTTGATGCTTTGTTTCCTCAGAGTATGGCCAGCCAATCCATCTCCATTTCTTCCTGCCTATTTGTTTCACAGTCGGTTCCTGCTGGGTTGGTTCGCTCATTGCCAGAGATCTCTGTTGCTGATCTTTTCTGGCCAGCCATCTGATCTTGAGTATTGAGCGAAGAAAACTGTTAATGAAGGTCTGTAGTTTGTTTGAGATGCTCTTTATGACGCACTGGCCAAGTCTCTGATCCGTATAGTAGCACTGAATTCACACTGGATTTGAAAATCCGGATCTTATTTTTGATGCTGAGTGCTGTTGTTCTCCACACAGACTTGAGAGTAGTGAAAGCTTGTCGGTCAGTGCTTATATACCATAAATTGAGGGTATTTAGATTTCGTCATTATCGAGTAGGCGAGGTCTAGGAATACACGTCGGCCGAGAATATAACTCAGACGTCCCACCTAGGAGGAAAGCATCCTACGACTGAACTACTCCGTCCACAACTAGCCTAACACATGTGAGAAATCCATTCAGAGTAACCACGTTCTAACTAAAACCAATTATGTGAAGATTGATGATACTACCTTCAGATATGGTATGTTGAGATACCCAGGATCAACTAGTTGGAAGTTAAGCAATTACTTCTCGAATTCAGGGTTAGGGAAATATATAGTTTATCACTCTTGCAGATGAAAAGCTTGAAGTTGTCTCGAGAAGTTCATGCATTGAGGTAATTGTGTGAGTGCTGCCGGAGGTGTGTTATGGAAGAAGTCTCCAATCGTATAATGAAATTCATCGCCATATCAGCCTGATTGTCAAAAGGTCGGACTTACTATGCTTCGATACGCACAATCTTACGCCATACCTGTGAAACTTGGCCTCTCCAAACGGGAGGTATACTGGATCTCAGTGAATTCGATCACCACCGCCTCCATAGAATAGCTTGGGTCCGATGGCATGTGTTTGGACACGGTGGGGGGTCAGCATTCATTGATTGGCTTGGACATGTGCTACGAATGTCATCTCAGAGGCTTCTGTTCGCCAACACTGGGACTCGATGGGAAAGGGGAAGAGATGGTCAACTTTTAACGTGGCACTTACATCAGCATCGGTTTGTATATCACAACTCTCCCATTGAGGTATGAGAGATAATTCGAATCAGTGGCTGGGAACGTTGTCAGATATTGCCAAGAATTGCAATCAGTAATAAGAAGTAGTGCGTCGGTGGCACAGCGGTTAAGACGTTTGCCGACCATGCAAATGATCCGGGGTTCAATCCCCGGCCGACGCACTCCTTTACCTCGCTTAGCCAGTATTAAGACTGGTGAAGAGGGAAGGTTGGGGATGAGGCTAGCAAATCCATCCTGTAAAAATAAACACTGCTATCGAAACTTCAAGCCTCTAGCTTGAAGCCCTATGTTCCACTGGGAACGTGAAGGAATAAAAAAATAATAATAAGTAGTGAATCTTGAATGATCGTGACAAGTGAGCGTACTTGCTTTCTCTATGACGGTCCCTCATTCATTCTACTTTCTCCATTATATTGTTGTTACTTTATTACTTTTGCGTGGCGCATTTCTTAGTGTGTCAACTTTGTGTTTCAAATACATAAATAAATAATAATAACAATCGTTTATCCACTGGCTGCTAATGATTAAAACAAAAAGTGAAAGTTCAAAGAATTTACTAACCTCCCTATCACTCTTTGATTCCCTTTTACGTCGTTGACCACTACTTGAAGTTGATTCTTTGCTACGATCTGTCAAATGAAAAAAGAGCACACAGCACAATACAGATGATTGTGATATGAAAGAAGCGACATTTCTTTCACAATGAAAAACATACCAAAAAGGTAAATGTTCTCATAAACTCCAACAATTACACAAAGATATTTGGAGTTACACTTACTTACTTGCATGAAAAGGTTGACTGTTTTTGATCATAGATGTCTACGATCTCTTTCTCACGTTAGGTGGTATAATAAGGTAAGTAATGTTGACGTTAGGTGTAGAGTGTTGGGCAAAGAGGGAAAATCACTCGAAGAGGCTATGAAGTTACATAGATTGAGATGGTTAGGTCACGTGCTGCGCATGCCTAGCCATCGCCTCCCCCGACTGGCATTACTAGCTGATATAGGTGCAGGTTGGAAAAGAGTAAGTGGTGGCCAAACAAAAACATGGCCTCATCAATCCATGAAATCCCTGACAGTTAAACTGAGTCAGGTAGGGAGATGCAGACTTCCGGGTTGGGGCCCGCCCTCGGGACTCTAAGAATCAATGGCTGGAGACAGACAATAGGTGACATGGCTCAAAATCGTTGTCAATGGCTTACGCAGATGTATTCAGTCTCTGTAATCTTTCATATTCCTTTCTACCATTACTCATTCTGTTTCACTCTTAAACTTGTCAAACTCTATTGATTCTCTTCACTCATTTTCTTGTCTACCTTTGTGTGCTATTTGGAACGTGGCAACTCGAACTGGTGCACTTCACTGCCAAGTTCTATGTTGATTCCTTTGTCGATACGCATTGATAACAACCCAACAAACGTCAATAATACAACAAGATTTAATGATTTCATCAAATTTCGGTAAAACTCTTCAGTTGAATACTCTACATACACAATTAGAATTACATTTGAGAGGTATATGACTGTGATAAGTAAATAAACTACATTGAATCAATTATGCAAAACGACAGGTGTGAATGCTTTTCAGATCATGGTTAGATAGATAAACGAAAATGACTATGAGAGATAAAGAAAATGAAGATAATAATAACGCATTACGGGTCAGTTACATCATTTAAATAAACATTTAGAAAGGACTTGACTACATCAAGAATTGCAAACTGAATGACACTGATCATATTAGTAATGATAATAATCATACTAAGACGATTTCAGACAATGGTACTGACAAGGGATAGTTTAAGATGAATCAAGAATAATAATAACAAACCATATATTAACAATAATAACTGTGATAATAACAAGCAATAAGTAAGACATATTACTATAGTAGATTCACAGTGACCACCATTTTCTTCTTCTGTACACACAGACCGAGTTTTCAAACTCAAGTTGCATAAGCTTCCGCAATGGCAAGCATCTTCCTCAGTGTTTTTTTTGTGCTGACAATAGTAAATGATTTGACAGAGTCAGTATCCTATCCATGGTGTACAAGATGCTTTGTTATTGAACCTTTTGGTACTTTAATTTCAGCTTTTTTTTAAGCCACTTGGGGAAATGTTCCACATCATGCGAGTAGACAATCGCCTTTCCGTACGACCAATATATCTGCTTCTACAAACACAATCAAAATGATATAAGCAGTTTGAGATGTCGAGAAGAATCCCCTTGGTGAGTTTTGCAGCACAACGAGTTCTTCTGATAGCTTTATCAAGTCTTCATTTGCTTACTTTTCTTACATCATCTCCTTTTTAAATGGCAAACTGATATATGTACAGCTTCCTTTGAGACTGTTTGGATAGCTTCACTGGAGCACATTTCTGTAGAATATTTATTGATGAACCTCTCAGGATATATATTCTTAGATAAATTTTCTTCAGAGTCTTTATTTCATATTTAATTGTACTGTCAGGACACAAATTCTACGTGAACTATTGAATAGTGTTCTGACTAAGTTGTTTTTATACTGGATGGGAAGAAAGCTTTTAAAATGTACATACTGTCACGTCCATGAAGGATTTCTAAATATAGATCTTTCTATTGTGTCATCAATCTGCCTCACTAGAGAAACATCTAAGAATTTAATGGTATTATTTTCTTCATGTTTTGTTGCGAAGTTAAGATTTGGATGGCATGGGTTAAATCTTACCTGTAAGTTTTCCGCCTTTGATTTACTTCCACATACAATAAAAATATCATCCATATATCTTATATATAATTCCATTTGTTGTATATGCTGTCGCAAAGCACCAGCTTCTAGGCCTGACAAGAACAAACCAGCAAACCTTTCGTCCCAGAGGGCTTCCCAACACCAACTTGACGGAATAGACGCCCATCGAATTGAAATTAGATATATTTAGTACATAAAAGTAACAATTTCCTCAATCCCGCTGTTGGAATAGGTATGTCATTAGCTTTTCCGTATATGAAATCAATGTTCACAATGACTGGGACATTTGGGAATGGGGAGGTGACATTAAAAGAGACTAGAGGTTTATCAGTTACATTGAGATCCTTATTTCTCTCGACAAACTGGAATGATACAATCAAGTTCCCTTGACAAATATGAATAATGCAATAAGAACATCTTTTGCAAGATGAGATGAATTCATTTTATTTCATAGGATTTCCGTCAGTCGCATACAAAGTGAATAATAAACCACATAAGCAACGAATGTGAAATAATTTAAACATACTTTAAGCTGAATAGTGAGTTCATTTTATACGGCGAATAGATTAAAACGTGTTGAAGATGGAGACGAGGTACAAAGTATACGAGAAAGTGGAATAGTGAATTATAACCAAGATAGAGACATTACTATATTGTACATAGAAGAATGTTCTGAAATTTAAGGGTAATCCACACGTAAGTAGAAACAGCTACATAGTCGCTTGGAAGGTTATTCAACCGAAATGAAGAAGGCCAGGGACACAAATATATTAAGAGTATTATTAAGGAAAACGATGAATGCAGTTACCGAGTTATGCGGCACACAAAAGGAAATAAAATAGAATAAAATGAAGTTTCAACAAGTTACAGTGAAACAGTCAGTGCTTACTAAGGTAGTAATAAGTTAGCAATAGTCTCTGTTCGCACATACAATTCAAATTTCATTCTCCGGATGGTCACAGCCTCAGCAATTCGAAGTAGACCTGAAGTGCTTTGTCTGTCCACCACCTTAAAATATCCTACTGAGTTGATCTGGTGTCCTGTATCAGCCAGGTGTTGAGCTACGACGCCCTCATATGATATCGAACCTCTAAGGCGTAGACTTTGGGGCACAATGTTCAACAGTCCTTGTAGGTAACCATCTCTCAGTTCTTCCAACATACTTGCTACCGCATGCACATATGAATCCATAAATACGGTTGGAGCTCATGACAGCCACAAATTGGTCTAGTTTGGACTGTGTAATTGGATGGGTTATTTTGTACAGGATGACCAGTTTGGCGGTTGGATACGTCATGATATTGCGTCTTTGATTCGCCTGGTAATTCTTTCCTCAGTTTCATCAACTTTAAATACTAATTCCATGTCGACAGTACTATACTCTTCCTTCTTCATGTCACATTTACTCTATTTCTCTATGAATCGTTTGGGATATCCATTGTTCCTTAAACATTCCTTGATGAGATTGATTTCGTTTCCTAATGTTTCTTTGGAGCAAGGCTTTTCTGCTCTCTGGTGTAGTGTTCTAACCAAACCCCTCTCAAAGCTAAAGGGACAGAAGCCGTTGAAGTTTAAAATATTGACCACTCCAGGTTGTTTTGTGGTGAATGCTCCTTTTTATTGTTCCGTCTTCTCTTAATGCATAAGTCAAGAAAATGTAGTCGGTTATTGATTTCCTACTTTATCTTGAACTTGATGTTTGAATGGGCATTGTTGAACCTCTGTAGCAGTAATTCTGCATGGTGAGTATCACAAATGCATCATCTACATGCAGTGAATAAAAGGTACTTGCCGTGATCGTAGATTTCTAGGTAGTATTCTTTTTTAGATGGGACATGAAGATATCAGCCACTATTGGACCCAACGGGCTCCCCGTTGTCGATATAACACTTTATTAAACTTAAATTGCACATCTGTGGTACACAGGAACAGAAGACGCCTCGTATCAGCCAGCGGTTATGGGATATCTTCGCCGTATTGACAGATAATATTTATCATTTCTTGAAGGGGAATTCTTGTAAAAACAGATTGTATGTCGTAGGATGTCATAAATTTGTTAGATATATTAATTACTCCTATTCTTTTCAAAAAACTGGACGAGTCTTTTAAGGTATGAGTCAATAACTTTTCCCAGACATTTACTAGCTTTTGTGCTAACCAACGAGTAAGTAAGTGTATGGTAAGGGGAATTGACATTAACAGGATAGTTCTCATAGGTATTTTTTTCCTTATGCATTTTTGGTGTTCCAAACATAAAAAGTAAGCGGGATCTTTCGGGTATGAGTTCATTACACATTTCTTTTTTAGCAGTTCTCTAAGCTCTTTTGTAATTCTTCTCTCGACAGTTTCTGTCATGTCTTTGTTGTATTCGTCCCTTCTAAATCATGACGTGTCGCCTAGTACTTGACACATCTTAGGGGTGTAGTCTTCTATATTCATTATGACCACCCTTGAATCCTTGTCAGGTCTAAGAATTACAATATTTTTGTTGATCCTTAATTCTCCTATGGCTGATTGATGTTCCGGAGACAAAAATTTAGAATGAGGAAGTGCTGGTTAGCACTCTTCATCAAAGTGGATTTCAACCATTCCTTTCAATCTTCATCAGTTGGTTAGAGATCGCCAGTTTAATGAAATAAAATACGTCTACAAAATTTCCAACATTTAACTAGACATATAATATATATATATATATATTGAGAGAGAGAGAGAGAGTATTCAACTGAAGAGTTTTGGCTGGCTGGCTGGATTCAACATAGAACTTGGAACCGAAGTGCAGCAGTTTGAGTTGCCACCTTCCAAATAGCACACAAACGTAGACAAGAAGATGGATGAGTGAAGAGAATCAATAGAGTTTTGACAAGTATAAGAGTGAAACAGAATGAGTAATGGTAGAAAGGAATATGAAAGATTACAGAGACTGAATACATCTGCGTAAGCCATTGACAACGATTTTGAGCCATGTCACCTAGTGTCTCCAGCCATTGATTGATTCTTATAGTCCCGAGGGCCCCAACCCGGAAGTCTGCATCTCCCTACCTGACTCAGTTTAGCTGTCAGGGATTTCATGGATTGATGAGGCCATGTTTTCTTTTGGCCACCACTTACTCTTTTCCAACCTGCACCTATATCAGCTAGTAATGCCCGTCGGGGGAGACGATGGCTAGGCATGCGCAGCACGTGACCTAACCATCTCAATCTATGTAACTTCATAGCCTCTTCGAGTGATTTTCCCTCTTTGCCCAACACTCTAGGTCTAACGTCAACATTACTTACCTTATTATACCACCTAACGCGAGAAAGAGATCGTAAACATCTGTGGTCAAAAATAGATAATCTCTTCATGTCTTCCGCTCTCAATGGCCACGTCTCACCACCATAGAGAAGGACGGAGCGAACTGCTGAGTAGTATACACGTCCCTTGGTTGATAGCCGGATGTCACGCCTACGCCAGAGACGGTGTAAGTTAGCGAAAGCTGCCCGAGCCTTCTGGATCCGTGCTGAGATTTCGTCACTAATCAGTCCGTTGGTGCTGATACAACTTCCCAAATAGGTGAAGTGGTCAACATGTTCTATCACTTCACTCCCTATCACTAAGCTAGGAGTTGAGTTTTACCGAAGTTTGATGAATTCATAAAATCCTACTTTATTAACCTTTGTTGTTTTATACTGTTTTATATTTGGATCAACTGTTATTGGACGAATTGTAATAAATTTGAGAATTTCATGTGCATCAACTGGATTCACTTACCAGACATTTTCTGCATGACTTATAGTTGGAGAAAAAAGTGGTTATTATAGTACCCCGACCTTTATAATTAGGGCTGCATATCAGCCATGAGTGAAGTCCTTCAGTAGCGTGAAGAAATGAAACGAATTCTTTATCACTGGCTACCACACACCTGTTCTCATAGGGACAATTGAGGTGAAAATGTACAACTGGGAAGGCATTCCAGAAATAAGTAGTTAAAAATAGACGGGGCATAGAAATTTGCAGATATTTATAACAACCGATTCACAAAAATAAATGAGCCATCTGACTACCCTACCGCTAACAAGGACAGTACATGATAAATCTGTGAAACTCCCTAAAAAAAACCTGCGGGGAATAAAATCTCTACAAATTTACTACCGAAAATGTAATACTAGAACAAATGCTGCTAGATATCACTTGGAAAATCCTGTTGCTAGTATGTGCTGTGATTTAGGAAAAAGTGGAATGGAAACTATCAACAAAATTTACCATATTTTTACATAGGAGATAAGGGATGTCACTAACCAGAGGCATACATGTATGCTTCACAAGCTACAGATGTGAAAAAGATAAAACAGAAGTGAAATAAAACCCATCACAGTTTAGGTATAGATAGATCCTTTTCACTGTTGAAACGTCAAAAGCCTACAACTTCAGAGCAGGCACGAACAATACGAAAAGCAAATAGAATCATCATAATGCTTAAAATCTTACCCTTAGAGGAAGAGTTATCTTCACTCGTATTAGTGTAGGTATCTGAAGTGGATATCGGTTGGCTTTGTGATTGATTATCGGTTATTTGATTAGAGTTATTATCATTTGTAGCAATATTTTTGCTATTCACAGGACAGTTAATTGGAGTAACAACAAACTCAGGATGTGATATGACAGTTCCACTAGAAGTTGCTGGTGTTGAAGAAATATGTGGCTTTAAATTATCCAATGCTTGTTTTAGGATAACTGGAACAGATACCTCCGGAGTACGTACAGAAACATTATTCTGATGTTCGGGAGTATCAGGAACGCTGACAGCACCACCAACAACAACTTTGTCAGTAATATTTGATGGGAGACTTTTACTTTCAACATTAGGAGTTGAGTTAGAGTTCGCAGAGCTGCTTTCAAGATTATTCCGTCGATTTAAATCTATGAGGGTTAGAGCAACCTGAGGATTCATTACGCATGACAATTTCTTTGGCTCAGGAGAATACAACTGCTTCATTTCTTGACGCATGATCTGATTAACACGTCCTGTTGGTCGTGTTGGTGATAAAAGCTTCCTTGGTCTAGGTTTGACTGAATGAGCCACTTTTGCTCTTGCAACACGCTTTTTAGTTGTCTGTTTACGACTATTCGGATCGATATTCTCTTTATCATCATCATCATCATCCATAAAAAGATACGGGTCCTGAGATGGAAGAATTTTACTGTCCAGTTTCCCCTTAGTATGACATTTTTTTATCAACTCATTTTTGCTGGTTAATGGAATGGAGTCTTTGGAATTCGATGTATTGGTTTTCAAGATTCCACCAGTCTTCTCCTTACAAATATCGCTTTTGACACGAGGTCTTGACCTAACATGTACATCTTTCGTGCATTCAGTGGGCTTCAAAAAAAAAGAAATACATCGTCGAAACACAGTACAAACTAAGTACTAAAAATAACTATTAGCATAAAAAACAGCAATAACCACCTTAAGATTTATTTTATTCCTTTACGTCCCCAGTGGAATATAGGGCTTCAAGCTAGAGCTTTGAAGTTTCGGTAACAGTGTTGATTTTGTTTACGGGATGGGATTACTAGTCTCGCGCCTAACCTTCCCTCTTTACCAGGCTCATTACCAGCTAAGCGAGGTTTGGGAGTGCGTCGGCCGGGAATCGAACCCCGAACCACCTCTGCGCCACCGACGCACCACCTTAAGAAATCAAGAAACACTATATTAGACTGCGAAAATGGCTGTTCGAATGAGAAAATGCCAAGGAGGGGAGTGATGTCAGCAAGATGTTTTTCACAAACAAACACCAAGGGGTCAGCAACCAGATACAAATGACACACATACCCCAACCAGGAGCCTTAAGTATTCCGATATAACTATACTACGGCGGATATGACAACAGCCTCGAGAGAAAAACAAACAACGGGAAAAGTGGTGAAGCTGTTCAGTATGTTTACTACTGAATGTGTACACTATGGTATAAACTGTTATGATTGGATCGCCTTCGTTTGCCGGGGTAGAAGTGACTGATTCTTGGCAATACTTCAGTGCTCTTTTATGGGTAAATTTTATTTTGATAGAGTCTCACAGTGTTATACAGTAATATGGTGGAGATATGTGGATGACACTTTCACAGTGTTAAAAACAGAACATATCTCTAGCTTCTTGACACACATAAACTCACTAGTGGAGGGAATAAAATTCACATTTGAAACCGAAAATGAGCACGGAGAATTAGCTATGTTAGATTGTAAAATAAAACGAATAGAAGAAGGTAAACTACACACTAGTGTTTATAGAAAACCAACGCATTCTAATAGATATTTAGATTTCAATTCGTCTCATCCTTTAACTGTTAAGGCAGGCTTAGTTAAGTGTTTGACAAACCGAGCAATGGCACTAAGTAGCACAAAGAAAGACCTAAATGATGAAATAAAACAGATAGAAGAGGCGTTGGTTCTAAATAACTATCCTCTAAAATTCATTAGGAAGATTGAAAAACGCCAAAAGAAAAATAAAAATAATTGTGAAACTAGTAATAATAACATAAATAAGAGAGAATATGTCATCTACAGTTATACCATATAAAGAGGGGACATCTGAGACCCTACGTAGGATTCTAAATAAAGCAGGAATTAGGGTGGCATTTAAACCTACAAACTCACTCAGGGACAAGCTCTGTAGGTTAAAGGACCCAGTAGACCCAATTAGACAAAATAATATAATTTACAAAATACCCTGCAATGACTGTGAGGTCAACTACATAGGTCAAACTAGTAGGTCAGGGGTAGTCAGATTGTCAGAACATAAGAATTTAGCTAAGGTAAGAATGGTTGACCCAGAGAAGATAAGTAATTTAGAAAAAAGCTCGGCAATTGCAATGCATGCATTAACACACAACCACACAATAGGGTGGGAGAGGGTTAAAATTCTAAAAAGTAATCTAGGTAGGTGGAGAGAGAGGTTGATTACTGAATCTTTGTTCATCGAATCTACACCCAACACATGCAATAGGAATGAATCATCACTCGAGATATGGAAAATGATACTACCAATCAAATCAAGTGAAAATCAAGTGAAAAACAATGGAACTTCAGTGCTCTGTTTTATCTAGTGAGGCCTTACATTTATGTGGGAACTTGAGACATCAAGTCATTCATCATGAACGCCATGCACTTAGTGCATTCATTGTTTGTTCCTCATCTGGTTTTCAAATTTTGTCTAGATCTTCGGTAATGTACTACGCAACGTCACTTAGAAGGTAATTAGCGGTAGTCGAAATGATTTAACTTGGCCATAGTTGTTTCTCACCCTGTAAAACATTTATACCGAAGGATTTATTCATAATTCATTAGCCCAACCCTCCGTCTTGTGACACCTTGGGTATTTATAGAGATTTATTCTTGTGTAATCCGGTTCAGTGGGTGTTTGTCTTGCAATTCTCTTATGGGAGACACCACCAGCTATTAAGTAACGTTACTACATGTTTCCGTGTTGATATTTTTCGTTGAACATCGGAGAATTTCTTATTTAATTCTATCCAACACGTATTGTGATTCTACTCCTTATCATGACCACTTGAGGGTTGAAAGGTGTCAAAAAATGGCGATAGAAGAGAACTAATTATAAAAACGATTGCAAGACTTAACAAATACGAAAGTATATTTTAATTTACATTGCCTTTGAGGGTTAACTTTAGTCTCCTTAGAACCTATCTACCATAAACAGCCTTTTCATGTCTCCGGCAATCACACTTATTGTGGGTTGAACAGATCATACTGTATGAATAGTGGTTGTAAATACAGAGAAGCCATACACCTATTAGCTGAATGTCACGTACTGGTGCCAGTGAGCCATGTTCCCACCTACGCTCAACATATAGGCAAATGACAGCGAAAAAATAATTGAAGAGAGATACAACCAATGAATATATAAATGCCTTTATTCTAAATTATGCACAAGAGAGTGGCATTTGACCAAAGTTGTCCTGCCTGCCTAAATACTGCTATTCATACACTTTGATCTAAGTAGGACATGAAGGAGAAACGGAAGGCTGTTACTTGTATGCCAGTTAAGACTTCCTGCAGCGAAATTTTGAAGAACTCCACCAAAGTATCGACAATTCCCCCACGTTTAAACCCAATAGCCCTAAAATTGTCTCAATATCCCTAAAGAATCGCGTAAATGCCCCTCAGTTACCCTGCAAAGGACCCAAAATCATTCCAAATGTTTAAAAAAATGCTTTTTAAAGCACATATACATGGTTCAACTAGTATATATGAATATGTGCAATTCTAAACTTATTCTAACCTATGCGTCGATAATGCCTTTTTATGGTAAATGAAAATTTTTTCTACCCACTATGTTCTTAAATAACGCTGGTCGTGCTTAAAAAGAGAGCTGGGTGCTGAATTAATGCGACAAAATCTTAAAAAAAAGATCAGCATCTGAAATAATGCCTTCAATGCTGAAAATAAGCACTGCATACCTAAATATGTGCTGAGAAGGCTAGAATTAAGCTGAAAAAATTGCCACTATGTGCCGAATTAGGTCTTTTCGTTCTGAAGTAATGCTAGTCAGTTCTGAATATGTGCTGAGAAGGCTAGAATTAAGCTGAAAAAATTGCCACTATGTGCTGAATTAGGTCTTTTCGTTCTGAAGTAATGCTAGTCAGTGCTTAATATGTCCTGTAATGGCTGGAACAACGCTGATAAGGAAACCCAGTATGTTCTGATCTACTCCTGAAAATGCCTAGAAAAAGAACACGGTGCTGAATTCGTTCTAGTCATGCTGAAAACCAGCACTGAGTTCTAGTCTGTGCCATTAAACAAACCATTTCAGAACAGATTCAGAATTTACTCACTATTGGATGCAGGAATTATTTCAGAATTACTGAGATTTAATTCAGCATTATTGTAAGCTTGGGATATATTAACTGGAAACATTTGGGTATAATTTCGGGGGCACCTAAATATGAAAAATCCTGTGATATTTCTGGGGAGAGCATCAAAATACTAGTACTTTTGCTAGAAACCCTAAATGCTAATAAATTCACCTAAAGTTGTGTGTGAGGACCGTAAAATCCTCGACAATTGCCTCATCCAAAATTTAGCCATACCACATTGTACTTCTCCTTTGCCCAACAATCCAGGCAATTCAGATGCATTAACGATTAACATACCTGACTCCTACTGCGGACAGATGACCTCAATCTCATGAGCGAGGATATTAGTTATCGCATTATACCGTTAAAGCAAAGAGCGCGGGTAATACATAAATTGACCGTTGTGGTCGTGCTAAACAAATGGGACTTTCCTATTTTGATTCTCCAGAAAAAATAACAGCAAAGTCTATGTTCTTTTTTTCCAGTGTCGGAATTTCTGATCTATCGTAGTCTTGTCACTGCTGACTCCTAAGTTTATTTAGCTCTATACAGAGTGAACTTCGGAGTCCAATGATATCATTGGTCTGCATTGATTTCACAGACAGACATTTAGAAATCAAGCACACCATAGTGAACCATGAATGGAAAGCAGAAAATGAATGACGGTCGAAAAATCTTCTCAGTAATATCAGTCGAAGTATAAGAGAGATACCTAATTTCACACGAAGAAAAGAGTTAGGTTATACCTGAAAACCGGATACCCTGATTTTGGACTGGCTCTTTCTCTTCCAAGACCCGAACCATAACACTACCTCCTCACTTCATAAATGCCATCTTCAGATGCTTTTTTCCTTCCGTCATATCATTCCTGTGAAAAGAAATAAGCATTTGGTCATTATGAATATTAATAGAAGTAAGATGAACACTCAGTGCCTGTTGGTTTTGTCCGAACCATTTCAACCTGCTGGAATATACCATCACACCCTCCCTACTTATATAGAAATAGATATATTCTTATTATTCCCATCTTCTTGTATTTCAGACATATTTTCCATTACTTTGCGATTACTGCATATCAGCATGTCCACTTTCCCCTACCTCCGTTATCAGTCCCTGGTTGTCGTAGCCATACTATAATCGTTTCTGATTGTGCTCATCTTCTTATCACAGTACTGTTTCTATCTTTGTCTTCCTCTTTTGGTGTGTGCTACTGGCAAAACTTATCAGCATTATACATATACAGATTGACAGGAAGTAGCCGAAATTGAAAACGACAATTTAAGTCAGTATCTACAGAAGTGGAAGCGTTTATTTCTCAAATCTGGATCTGTCTTGCGTTGTGGTCGAAAAGTAATACCACAGTTTAACCTTCTGAAAATCAACAACCAATCAGAGCAGCTCCAAACGTCATATTATCGACAACTTATGAAAATAGTTTATTATCCACTGACATAACCGACCATTAAAGTGGTACTGGCCACAAATGTGAATCGCTCCAGTCTGTAGGACAGCAACATGCATTTTATGACAGCTCGAGGACTAAGCATGAGTCTAGACCCTTAAGAAAAATTCAATAAGGGTTGTACAGATCCAAATTTAAAGAATTCTTTTGCTCCTGCCATCTACAAGCCTGCTCAACCTCTTGTTAAGATAATACCCCACGGACCCTGCAGAAATTCGTGAGACATCTTACAGGTCAGCTTGTCATACAGGTTCTAAACTTCCGGATCTTTGAATTCACTTCTCACTGAAATATCACTTACCTACTTCATGATGATCTTTTTATTTACGCACTATTATACTCTACTTTATCTTAACAACCTAGGCCTTTACTAAAGTCAAAACTTGCTCTTTGTTCATATTTGTTGCTTGCTTAAAGTCTGGTGGCTTTGATGAAAAAGGCCACAACACCAATGTTTAAGCAGAGCTGTATTTTCATCAAAGACGTCATAGTTTCCATGCTAAGACCGATATGGTTAGCATTATACACTGCAAATGTACACCATCATTCCAGGGAGTCTCCACCCTCTTCTTGTACATATCTTGTGAATGTAATTTCAATGATGTATTTTCCATAATTGTATTTTATGCCGTTTTGCAGTTTCTCAGGACGTTCTTCCCATCCCAAAACAGCTTTCAATCAAGTGATGGCATAACATACTCTGAGGAAACCATCAAGTGACATCACTAGACAAGCCATTGCTCGAGTGGAACCCGAAAGGGAAGCGGCGAGTTGGTCGTCAGTGCAAGGATGACTTGGAGGAGGTCATGTGAAGAGGAGATGAAAACGTGTGGGCAGTTTTGGAGCCAGGTGAAGACTCTAGCAGGGAACTGAAAGCAATGGAGACGCACGGCCGAAGCCCTATGTTCCTCTAGGAATTAAAGGAAACAATTATAATAATGTTCTATCGTATAGGTTGCTGTGTCGTTGTGCCATGCCTAGTTCGCAAGCAACTGTGATGACTATAAATGTAACATTTGGCTATTCCAACGTCGTTTCACCGTTTTCGTTGTATACTATCTTGAAAGTGGTTAGCAATTATGGTGGTTATCAGTGCCTACGATCCCGTGGGTCCCAGTGCATTTCTTTCATAAGGTGAGCACCTTATAAACTGTTAACACTGATAACCTTTTTCACATACTAGTATGTGGCCAAGTTCACATGTAGAGGAAAAATGGGCGAATAAGATATTGCATGGTAGTGAGACAACTTTGTGGAACTTTTATCTAGCCTGTATGTTTCTCTCTAGTATTTTTGTCCCTCAGGCCAACAACAAAGTATTGTTAAATGTATTCTTGTGGTATGATTGGACGGCACCATTACTGTCAGTTAATGATATTATGTATGCTTAATTTTCATGATATTTTCTGTACCATTAATGTGCTCCACATTTCGAAAGAAGTGTAAACTATCAAAACTGAATTTATTGAATAATTAAGTCAAATGTCCTCATGCACATAAATTATGCAAATGCTTAATCTACGTAGGTGAATTTAATCTGTATCGCCTTCAGGAATGTTGAGTCGTAATGAAGTCTCTCAGCTGAATTCAGTGGGAAGCTGATGCAGTCGCATACGAACGAAGACATCCGAAATCCACTAACGAGTATTTTACGATTTATTACCAGAGAGTAAACAAAGCTCTGTTTATAGGATCAACTGCAAATACATGTAATAGGAATGATTCAACACCTGTCCCAGATGTCTGGAAAGTTCTACTACCCCAGCGACGACAAATAGTAGAGGACAAAGAAAACTATAAAAATCAAGTTTCGAAGTCGTGTGATTACAACTGATATGATTATGAACAATAAATTTTGTTCGAAACGTCATCCAGTAAATAGTACTGTTTCACTGTGCGATACATCTAATAAACAAACTAATATGAAATTACTTACTACCACTGTGCCCAATTTTTTACACATATATCATCAGACAGATTTGCATAATCAGTTTTAGGACTTGATTCTGTATGCAACAACAAGAGGAGGGAAGTTCACTCATTCACTAATAACCATGCAGATATTGTTTGTTCCAGTTTGTGATACCGGCTAACTTTGGATGTCATGGATATGAACTCGTTACTATACGTAAGTGTAATTCTGTACGAGCACTATCGATTAACATTGGTGATGACTTATAAGGACTTTAGTCAAGCTTAAACACCTGCCTAAGGTGACACGATTATGTCTTCTGACCATAGGTAAATCTGTACGAACCAATGACAAAAAAGCTAACCTATTTGTTCGAAGTATAAGAATAGAATCTAGGCACAGTGGTAGAGTTCGATCTCATATAAGATTAAGTGTATTTCAAAGTAACGCTATACTATTATTTCACTTAAGGCGTGATGTCAATCAAAGTGCTTACGGGTGATAAAGTATAAGGCAAAATGAAGTCTACACGAGATGAATAATTGAGTAGGTGGATCTGTAGCAGTCGTAGCAATATTTCGCTTACATTGAATTATGTCGGCAATTACTTTCTCAGGTCTCATTAATAAGTCAGGCTTCCATCTTGTCATGATGACAAATTTATTTTCGCTCAGGTAGAATAAGAAAAGTATGGTAAGCAGGATATTAAATATACTTAACGTTTCTTATATTACCATTTGTAATCATGTGCTACAGAAGTGTTAACGGTGGACATGGTCACGCGATTTATACGCACCTCCAAGCACGTCAGCAGTTGTCCCACGAAAGCCCTGTGAAGAATACTTCACTAACACCAGGCTTGTGCATTTCTACACGATGAAAATTCCTGAGAAATTTCAAGACAGGGCTGCAGCAGATTACTCAGGAGAAGTGGTCACATGAATCCGACGTTTTCTTATTATGTAAATAACCTAGATTTGTAATGGAATAAAAAAATCTTGTCTTTGACTTCGCACGCTCGTGGTGGGAGTACGGCACGCTAGACCGGTACTTCCTAAGGTGAGAACTTGCAGGTATACGTGAGTGTAATCCCGTACGACCATAACCGGTTCGTATGGAATTCAGTTAAGCCTTTGCATTTCAAGTCTTAGGATAGAAGTTAGTCTCTACGGTGTAGTATTATCGCATCATAGGGTACGCGTATTCAAAAATAGTTCATTGCTGCTGCTTGTACACCCATTCCAGCATCCCTGGAAATGTTGACAGAACTGTAAGTTACACTTACCAAAATAAAGCGCATTATCAGTAGGGTGTCTACATCACGTAATACTTTGACGTTGTGCATTAAATTCTGGCATATATTTCATGTGAATCGTTAATTCAACTAATATGACTAAGGGTGTTAATATAGAATTTCATACGACCTTTGCAATAGACGAACAATTAAATAAATTCAGCACGGCACTATTTCACTTACACTGAACTATGCCACCAACTACCTTTCACATTGTATTAATAAGTCGAACCCTCTTATCGTTATCATAAGAAATCCAATTCCACTATAATAGAATATTATACACGTACTTATATTTAATGAAAAATAGTAACAAGTGATTCTCTGTGCGCAACTGTTCGTTATAATTATTTGGCCCGTATTGAACTGCTGTGACCAGGTTGACTGGTGCAACTGGAATTCTAAAACTAAACGAGTGAAGTGCACCATTGGTTATGCTGCAGTTAGAAGAAAGAAATATAAAAGTCGCATAGTTTTTTACTTCATTACGTCCTTTTACAAAGTTCATTCTTCTTCTCCCTCTGTGATTTCAACTGTCACTAATATATTAAATTCTTTCTCAAGCAAGCAGACGATGCCCTCATATTTGGGTATCATTTTTAACTTTTGGAAGATAGTTGATATATACACTGGTGACTCATCAATATTGACTTTTCGCACCTGCATGATTATTGATTTTGCGCACCTGCATGATTGGATTTAGTGAATTTCCATTGATTGTTAAAAT